AAAAAAAGGCGGGGGGAGGGGGCTGCCAAGCGTCCGCAGCTTTCAGCACCACGCGCTGGGGCGCTCGGAGCGTGCAGACAAAGCAGCTGCTGCCCAGCCCCCCGGGACCGACCCCTCCCCTCCCCGTGCACCCCCCGGTGTGATTAATGTGCAGCCCTGGAGCGGCGGGATCTGCAGGGGGTTGGGTTGCAATGTTGCAGGAAGACGAGCGGGTCTCCTCGTGGGGGTAAGTTTCTCAGCAGGTAGCAAAGCGGCTGGAGAATGGGGCGCGCCCCACTTCCTAAGTGGGGCGGCGTGTGTGTGTGTCCTGGCTCTGCTTTCGTGTGACGGGCTCTGGCTGGAAAGAGGACCCCGGTGGGCAGCCCTCTGCGATGCAGCTGTGCGGGCGGTGGGCTTAGCACCCGCAAATCTTGGGATGTTTCTCCTCCCCTCTGAAGTGGCGGTGCAAAGAAGGCTCCGGGGTGTGGGGGTGTGGTGGCGGAGCGGGGAGCTGGCCTGAAGGGGGAGGACCCAAGCAGGGGCTCCTCAGTTTGTTGAAGAGATGCCGTGGTAGTGGTGGGCTGTGCATTTGGATTTAACTAAATCAGACTTTCTTACACGAGACTAGGGATCATCATGGAAATCTGTAAAGTGTGATAACACCTTCCCAGCACCAGGAGCTGGAGCTGTTGAGAGCCACTCTGGCTTGTAACTAAGAGAAGCTGGGGAGAGGAATATGCAGCCCCCTGCAATGGATTTAGGGTGCTTAGCTCAAGAGCAGGTGATGGTGCTAAGCTCCACTCTTCATCAGGTTCCATCAGGGCTGCTTGCATATAGATAGGAGTCTAAAAGGAGGGATCATGCCTAAACATAAAGAGGCAGAGAGGATCCAAAGAGAGTGGCACATTCTTGGTAGATCCAAAAACAGAGAGGAGGGATTGATGGGGAAAAAAATCTGCCCACACCAAAATAAATATGCCTCTTTCTAAATGTAATCCTTCCGCTCCATAGCACCCGTAGCAGCAAGGCCAGGTTCAATATCTCCCGGGGATTCCTCTCCATCCATCCAACACGGAACTGACTTAAGGCCCCACCCAGTAGCCTGGGAAATTCACACAATACCCCTGGTCACCTCTGGGAGGCAATGTTTCCCCACTCGCAAGCAGAGTCTGAGTGTAGGAAATAAACCTTTAATAAAAGGGGTGGGAAGTAATATGGTATTAATTTGGAAAAACACCCCGAACAGAGTTCACAACCAAAACCACAGTAAACGTCCTAGCTCAAGTAGGTTGGGTAGTGTCCTTTTCCTCTTTGGTTCTCAAGTCCAGCAAAGTAGATGTTCCCTTCACATGCCCAATCCTTCTCTGCACCCCACTCAGTCGCTGCCCTGGGTCAGGGCAGACCAGCATTTGGAGGTGCATCTGCAGAGTTTACCTCCCCTCCTGAGTTGAGGGGAGGGAAGGTAGAAGGCATCTCACCCACTCTGCTGGTCATTCGCCATCCACTTGCTCGCTGCTCTTGGGCTCCACTTAGCTGGCCATTTATTGCCCCTCCCTGCAGTATCTTCCACTAGCTTGTGATGGATTTGGCTCTAGGCCAAGCATAGTGATTTCAGCTCTTGGCCCAAAGCACTGTCCAGCCACAAGAGAATCCAGCATCCACTGGAGAACATTTACATATGAAAGAGACCCCTTATGGAGCCTCTCTTTAACTCTGTCATTGCAACAGTGGGGAGAAACAGGTTGGACCAGTCTTATGGCTCACACATGGAGGACATGCAGCCTGCTGGCCCCCTCCCCAGCTTCATCTATAGGGGTCTGAAAGAGCAGCCTATGTCCATCCAAGTGTATTTACATTGACAAGGTCTCTCCTTTTAACTGAGCTGAAAACAGTCTGACTTTTCTGCATTGTGCAACAACTGCATAATCACAATAATCTGCAAGCATTGGTGGTCATATCTTACAATGACTGCATTACTGTTAACATGGTTTGTGTCTCCCCACAACAGCTAAGTTCATTACAATGGGCAAAATACCATCTAATAGTTGAGTATCAAGCAGGCCTAAGCAAGCTGAATGAAGTGTATTTACATAACCACACCCAGGATTTCTGTCGCATTCCAGCATGAACTGTATTTACAAAACAGCCGTTGAATACCTAGCAGGTCTAAGCAAATTTAGTGGACATATCACACTCAGGATTCCTTTCCAATTCCAGCTGGCTGCAATAGAAGCATTGATTCAGACCCTCCTTACATAAACAAACCTTCAATAACTTCCTAGCCAGAAAATGTATTATCCATCCCATATATGTTTCCGTGCTTTTCATTGTCATTTACTATATTAGTTCATACCATTTGCCTTGGTCCACTGCTCTGAGCTCTTGATTACAGCTTCCCCATCTAGAAATTCTATAAATACATGCAAAGTGATCATTGTGTCTTGAAACTGGGTGGATGTTATTTAGAACTACCCCAGGGCAAGAGGAAATAAAAAAACAATGGATCAGGGCCAGTTTGTGGTCCAAATTATGTGCTAGCATTAGGGATGTTAACTAGGGCTGTCAATTAATGCATGTTAATGCCTGTGATTAATGCAGGGCAGAATGAACATGTTAAATTTTTTAAACGCGCATTAATTGCAGATGTTTCCGTGGTGCTGCCCTCTTTGAAATGCCGGTGCAGCGTTTCAACGGGGCAAAGAAGGCATTGAGGAGCCCGGGATCAGCTGTGTGGTGCTGCGCCTTTGAAACGCCAAGTTGGCATTTTAAAGGGGCAGCACAACGCAGAGACTCCAGCTGGGGACTCCAGCTGACCCCAGCACTGCATCTTTGAAATGCTGCCATGGTGGCGTTTCAAAGGGACAGCGCCACACAACTGATCCTGGGTGCTTCCAAGGGGCAGCACAGCGTGGAGCCCAGCATCAGCTGGAGTCTTATTATTGTTTAACAGTGCAATTAATCACAGGATTAATTGTGATTCATTTTTTAAATCATGTGATTAATCACTATTAAATTTTTTAACCGCTTGACAGCCCTAATGTTAACAATTGTTTAAAAAGGTAACAGTGTAGCCACTGAAATCTTAGCAGTTACATGGTTACATGCACTGTGGGCTCTGCAGTATAAAGCTTAGCTTAGCTTTATACTGCAGAGCCCACAGGGAGCAGGGCTGCCTGGAACCTCTCCAGGAGTGGCAGCCCCTGGCAGCACAGTTCCCAGGAAGGAGACTTGGCTGCTCTGCTGCACCGAAACTGCCTCCCTGGGAGGCAGCTGAGTTTAACCGATACCATTAACCGATAAATTCTAACATCCCTAGCCTAGCACAAGATATAAAGAGTTTACCTGCATGACCCCCTGACTTTGGATCTGGGTGCCATTTAGTGGGGTTGGGGTGGGAGAAATCTGGTTCCACCTCCATCCCTCCAGATTAATATTCTTCATTTGCCATTTTCATTGTAAGGTTTATTTCATACTAGTAATATTACTTTGATACAAAAGATTGCCTGGGGATTCATGATTGGCTAATGTCCCTAGGCTTCACTATGTACCATCAGCTCCTCCCCCTGGCCATTAATCCTCTGGAAATTCCCTGTGTCTTACCTATTACTACTTTATTCAATTTTATGGTATAGTCAGACGATAAAAATGAGTTGGTATTTTATTTTCTTTCTCTCTAATAGCAAAGGCAAGGACCGAGTGGTGTGCTATTTATCAGAGTTAAGTGTTATGTATGCATCATTAGGTTTCAACTGAAAACTAAAACACTTACAAGAGAAGTCACACTTCTAAACTGCCCTGCATTTAAGGACAACATGTTGGTCAGCCCTGCAATGTTCCAAAGCTAGACATAATATTTAAATACACATAGGTAAAATGTGCTATCGCAAAGCATTTTTCAAACATTAACTAAACATCACAACTCCCCATAGAGGCAGCACAGTATTGCAATTCTCAT